TATGCCTGTCTATATAAGCAATGTGCCATTTGCACTCGTAAGGCTATAAACTGTTCATCTGCTCCTGCCTTGGTTAAAACTGCTTTAACTAAGTGAGAGTTAGGGAAATCACAAGATTGCTTGGAAAACTCACAGAATGTGCAAGCAAAAAGGGATTTCGGCTATTGATCACTATTCTTCAAGGTGGAAGAGAAGTGGCTCATACTTTTCCAGAAGTAAAGGAAGAGTAGGTGTTAAATGGAGTATCAGGTTTAGAGAAATAAAATATTCATGGTGTGCTGTCCAGACCACACTGCAGTGTTTCTATTGTACTGCGGCATCAATATGCGATGACATATTGTAATGTTTGTGCCAAAATGCTGTGATATCAGGTTGCCCTTTTTCAAAACTATTCTGCAAGACTGACTCTGACTCTGCTCAGATGATAAAATGACTCTTGCAAAGCTGCCAACAGCCTTACCATTTGGTTTAGCAAAAGAGTAAAACGTATATACCTCAAACATATACTAACTTATTTTACCATCTTATGTAAGATATATTTTGAAACGGCCCTTGTATGAACTAAAGAATTTGTGATTTTCCCCTTATTACATCCAGTTCATGTACCATGGATGCCATCAGAGGTGTCCATTAAATCTTTGAACAAAGTATATAAGTTCCTGTTCATACATTGCAAGAAAACTTCAAATCTCACTAATTTCTATTTCTAAGCATCTACATAGTATTTTTATTTTCTTAACAAGAGAGACATAAAGAACAGTTCAGCTACTCCAAAGTAAACTGAAGTGAAATAAATTTAGTGTTTATGTGACTACGTAAAACAATTTAGGCTTATGTGATTTTTTTTTACAATAGCAGAAAATAACAAAGCGTGTGTAAACCCTTTGTCACATACATATATATGACAAATATAATGATTTAAAGAAGTAAATAGGCCAGATATTTCCAATAAGTAGGCTTCCCTATAATCAAGGAAAAGCAGAACTATTTTAAAATTCAAGGACAATAGGAGATAATCTACCCTCTTGTTTGTAATTCCTATTTTATACCATGATTTTAATATTTATTCAATTGATGCAATGCCAAAGGGAAATATTCTATTAAATTAATTCAAGAAATAACTGCTTTCTTCA